GTGGGGGGGGGGGGGGGGGGGGGGGTAAATACCCTGAAATCAGGCAGGCAATATACATTGAAGAAACTTTTCTGTATGTAAATAGATCAAATAATATAAATATTAATATATCTACTTACAGTTAACGAGCTTATATCCCTAAATGACACATCGTGTCATATGTGGCCAAAAGAAGATTCTTGGAATACACATCCTTCCGGATTTTACTATAAAGGCAGATGGCAAAACGTACGTTGTAAAATAACCAATAATGTGCCTATCCCCAGATACAAGCGTTGCTTCGCTAACAGACAGCTGTTACTGATAGGAGATTCCAATGTTCGCATAATTGGCACGAGAATCATCAACGAAATGGAATTTAGACTTCTGAAGGGAAATGCAACTTCCAGTATTCCGCAGGACATCCTGGCGTATGACAAAAACAATAACATTACCTTATCGATGTTCCCGCATCAATTGCCGTACTATGCTCACAGATTTGTTGATAAAACTGTCTTCGTTTCGGCGGCGAAGCGCTTGGATGATATTCCAGCTGGTGACAACCGTATCATTCTTATTCACCTTTGGCTGCATATGCTCCGTAGTTCCGTGGATACGTTCAGGTACCATGTGCGACATATACGACAAGCTATCGAAAGGCTCATTCAAAGGTCACCAAATGTTCACATTTCTATCAAGGGGCCACACGCCTACAACTACAAGGATCAACTACCGGTAGATTATATGGCATCATAGCACATACGAATATGGTGGGAAGAATTCGTCGATCTCCACGACAAAGTCGTATTTCTCAATGAGTGGGACAGAACTGTTGGTAACGAAAACAATAATGCTCATCCAAACTGTGCCATCGATCTCATTTATAATTTTTTGGCGCATGTTTGTGATCCATAAGTATGACCTGCTAGTACGGCCTATAGATATTCCAAGTGAAACGCTAATCATCAAGATTTAGGGTGACGCGTGCCCCTCATGCTCTAATCACCGTGGTTCCCGATGATAGGTCAATTATGCCGATCGGTCATCAGGACTCAATCACGATGGTTTGCGACCATTGGCGAAAGTATAACATGATTGGCGATTTGAAACTGCTCTTGGCGAAAATGTCGACGGGGGGCTTTGATTTAAGTTACTGTCGATAGAAAATAGAAAACAAAACTTTGGCGATAACAGTTTCTAGGGCAATTGTTACATGTAAATTTAGCCCCCGGACGCCGCTTGTGTACTACGATGTCACGACTGAATCTGAAGGTCAGAATATTGGAGCTCTTTTGTGTGGTTTTTTTTTACAAAATGGTCACCTGTCAACACATCGACTCCGTCTGATACCAAAATCGCCAATTATCCAATTATGACTATTTTGTCTAGTTCCGAGGGGTGCTCTGTGGAGAACAATAGGGTAAGTTAGGGTGAGAAAAGGGTTGTTTTAGTTGGATTAGAGTAGGTACTGCAGTAAATCCCGTGAAGTGATGCGGGCACGGGTGTGTGTTTACATAAGGGCGCGGGCGGGATATTTTTTAACGACTTTCTTTTTTATTTTGTTAAGCAGTAACTGATATATAATTGCCAGGGCACTGGAAATGACATTGTACAACATGAATTGTGTAATAATGGCACTCTGATCGAGACGACATTTGCCGAAATTATATCTAAGTTGCCGGTAAAAAAAATGTATGTGAAAAATATTATGGCATTTTTGCCAGCAAATGATTTTTGTTTAAGAATTACCAACTGATAGTATGAAAATAAATAACCTCCAATTCCTAAATTATCAGCCTTTGGTTTTGGTGAAAATGATTTGCTCCAATATGCATGTTCAGTTCTCTTATATTTAGTTTTTTCGTTTTAACATACACGATACGTTAAAACGTAGTGACGCAAAGGGGAGTTAACTCCAGCGTAACTCTTACTTTACAATACAATTTATCTTTTGAATTTCTCTTTGTATATTGTCATATAACATGTACGTTACTTTTTCAATCTTCAATGAATGCATATAGGTATTGTTCTGTTTGTGAATCTTCGATTCGGGGGAAATAAAGAGAATGATAATAACGATTTAAATCAAAATCGTCACTGGGTTAAAGCCAATATAATTATATATACCGCAAAAGTCATTTAAGATTAATATTATGTACTCTAATGATAACATTAACATACATGTGTACTGCCGCCCTTTTCATCTGTGGATTTACTAGTTCGTGAGTCTTCGGATCTCTCTAACAATCTTGTTTTTAAATTTAATTATATGTCAGAAATATAAAGCATTAATGAATAAACTACCATCTGTTGTAACTCAAATGAATGTTTTTTGATAATAGGTACTGCACAGCCATGGTCAGTTTCAAGTCTTGGATACAAAATAAAAGCAAGGTTTCCTCATACGGCATACGTTACAGGGCTAGCTCTGGGTCTTGATACAGTTTCGCCAAAATTTATTAAAAAAAAGAAAGAAGACCCCACCCTTTTAATTTTCATTTATATATCCCATTATATGCATTCTAATGTATCCCATGTATCTTAGACAGGAAATGAACTACAGTCGAACCTCGTTATCTCGAACTCGTTTAACTCGAAGACCCCGTTTAACTCGAAGTGTTTCATCGGTCCCGGCCTAAACTGTTCTTAATCTTAGTAATAAAAACTCTGATAGTTCGAACTCTGAAAACTCGAATAACTCGGATATCTCGAAGTGAAATATCGGTCCCAACAACGTAAATCCTACATAAAAATATCGCTTACCTCGAAGTTTCTTAAGATTCACAAGTCGATCATATATTCTTTAATTATTTGATACATATTAGACGCAGTGCTACGGTAAACATCGTTCTCATAGAGCAGCTTACGCTCGGTCATAATTACTTCGATTAAACTTATTGTATTAAAATGTGTTTGACTGTAAAAACACTTTGTTCAAATAAAGAAACAGACTTCATCAATGTAGATTAACAACAATTAGTACTCACTGCGAGCCCGTAAACAATTTGAATGGCATATTATTTACACCAAAGCTGCCGACACATTCTAACCGGTAAATGGGTCACTGTGTGCGGTCATGCGTAAATAAGCTCCACAGTAAAAATCACAACCTAGGACTGGTTCGTCGATTTATGTTTTTACAGGAGCTTGTATGGCAGTGACACTGATAATTAATTGAGGGATTATAGGAACAATACGATAATTATTATTGAGTACGTCGTGTTGAGGAGATGTCAAGTGTCATTGGGGTCTATAAATGTTGATATGTTTCCTGATTAACTCATACCCATTTCGCGTGTACTCATTAAAAATATCATTTACGTGTACGCTCCAATACCGTGATTTGTGTAAAGACCTGCGCACTTTCATTTCCGCTATCAGCATAGCGAGGTCGGAGACAGCATGTAAGTTTTACAGTAGACGTTCTCCCTGTTTGTATGTGTGTTTATTGTAACATTGATTTGTATCAATTAATGAATATGATTATGAATAAATTGTTATTTTTATTGTATATCGTTATCTTTTGTCATTTATCGACTGTTTATATAAGTTGTTGATTTTTCCGACAGTCAACGTATTGATAGCCTCATATTTGACCAAACACTTTACCAAGCTTTATGCCAAACATATGAACTTGCTTAACTCGAACACTCGGATAACTCGAAGTTTTCCAGCGATCCCGTCGACTTCGAGATAACGAGGTTCGACTGTATTGAAATGAAGAAAACGTTCCATGTTTTATGACTATAAAACACTAACACTGCAAATAATTCCAACACTTTTTTTTATTTCTGTGACATTCACTGGCCTTCTGCATCCCAATTGCAAGGATTTCTACATTCAAACAGGCTGCTCTGTGTTGCCAAAGTGCCAGGATGAGATATTTCATCTGTCAATATGAAGAAAAATATTTCTGAACATGCATATTGGAGCAAATCATTTTCACCAAAACCAAAGGCTGATAATTAAGGAATTTACCATCTCTATCAATATGTTTATTATCTCCATTCTTTTACTTCATAATTTTCAGTCAAAAATCATTTATTGGCAAAACTGTCTACAAACAAAATTGATCGGCAACTTAAATACAATTTTCTTCAAATTGTCATCTCGATCAGCATGAACAGCATAATTCAAGTTGTATATGTCATTTTATGTGCATTGGCAATTTTACAATTGCTACTGCTTATCAAAATTCTTCACGCAATTTACTGCAGTAAATCAAATCCAATTAAAACAACTCTTTTCAGACCTAACTTACCCTATTGTTCTCCACAGAGCACCCCTCGAAATAGGAATAATACAACATCGCTATAAATGGATAATTGGCCATTTTGATATCAGACGGAGTCGATGTGTTGACAGGTGACCTTGTAGAAACACAGGAGAGTTCCAATATATGACCTTGCTATTCATTGGGTTTTGGAGATGTGTGATTGGCACAATGTGTACCAAATGAGAAATATTTTTTATCATTATATATACAACACATAAAGGATACTTTTATTCAGGAAATGAGAAACATATTCGAGACATCTTCAAAATGTTTGTTGTATAAACACATGGTTGTCCGTTTTGATCTACAAAACCGCTATTTAGAAAAAATGAATGTATTCTTGCGAAATATAGATTGCAAGCACATAACCTTAATATAGAGAGAGGTAGATATAATGCAGTGCCTCGAAACCAGAGATTGTGTACTTTATGTGATCTTGGAGATGTCGAGGATGAGTTTCATTTCATTCTTATGTGTCCTGTGTTTTTAGAATTAAGAGTATCGTATATCAAGCCATATTATCGTATTCGTCCTTCTGTGTTTAAATTAATAGAGCTACTGTCTAGCAAAAAAAAAAAACTTATTAGAAATTTAAGTAAGTACTTGATTCAGGCAACTGTTAAGAGAAGTCGTATATTATGAAATATTAGCTGTATCAAATTCTTGCTATAAACGTTTTGTCACTGTATAATGCGATTGAGATCTATGTCTTTTATTTCACAATAAGTTATAATCTCATTTCATTATATAATATATAGTTCTCGTTCTACCTTCATGTTGAGGTTGTATGATTGACTTTGAAGTTTTGTTATTTCCTAGAAATTTGGTCAGATTAAGGCTTTATTTGTATTATTTCCTAAACGACTAAATTATGCAACTAAATTATGCTTCATAAGAGTACGCTAAGTTACCTTAGGAAAACCTTAAAGTTTTCCCAAACTCATGCCAATTTCATAATTTGTAAATATTATGTATGGAATTGAATCTATTGCATACGTTCTCCGCCATTGTACAAGATGTTTGTAAGGTATTAATCTATATGTATATTTCTGTACGCCTATATGCAATGTGCATTTGGTAATAAATTGAATTGAATTCATAGGAAATCCATTCAGCCGTGACGTGACATCGTAGTACACAAGCGGTGTCCGGGGCTAGATTATCTCGTTGCGCTAGCACAGGGAAAACCGCTCAGCGTAACCGTGACCATTGAGGGCTTCATCATCATGATTCGCGGAGGACAATCTGCTTTGAAGAACCGCGGTGTAGCGATCACCGCGTGTTTTGGTGACATGATCACGTGACATTTGTCATCAGGGATCGCGATGACGCCGTTTTCAAGGTCCATATATACTGTTACTGAGTTTTTAAGGTCATGTAACATATATACTGTCACATATTACAATGGGTATGTACCATATATACTGTCACCGACTTTTGAAGGTCGTATACCATATATACTGTCACATACTACTATGGTATTGTAACAAATATACTGTCAGTGATCTTTGAAGGTCATGTAACATATATACTGTCACATAGAACTATGGTCAAGGGCTATATCTACTGTCAGAGATTTTTGAAGGCCATGTACCATATTCACTGTCACTGAGTTTCGATGGTTATGTACCGTATATACTGTTACTGAGTTTTTAAGGTCATGTAATATATATACTGTCACATATTACAATGGGTATGTACCATATATACTGTCACCGATTTTTAAAAGTTGTATACCATATATACTGTCACGTATTACTATGGTAATGTACTATAAATACTGTCACATAGTACTATAGTCATGTACTATATCTACTGTCGTTGATTTTTGAAGGCCATGTACCATATTTACTGTCACTTAGTTTTAAAGGTCATATACCATATATACTGTCACCAATTTTTGAAGGTCATATACCATATATACTGTCACATATTACTATGGTAATGTACCATATATGCTGTCAGTGATTTTTGAAGGTCATGTACCATATATACTGTCACATAGTACTATGGTCATGTACTTTATATACTGTCACCGATTTTGGAAGGTCATGTATTGTATATACTGTCAAATATTATAATGGTCCTGTTCTATGTGGCCCCTCTGGTTGAACAGGGGTTGTAAGGGCCCAATAGGG